CGCTTTTATAATATATTGCTGCTTTCTTCCCAGACAATCTTTTAATAATGATGACATTACACTCCTTCATAAAAGGATCCTTGTTCACGCGAGGAAAAAAGATAAGGTGTAGGATATCGAAGAAACATTGAAAATTAAATCGGCATGAAATTAATATCGCCTATGATCGTTTAATTTTTTTACTACACAGCTAATTGAGCAATTGAATTTAACGGATAAATAGTGGCACTTAAAATCGAGAGTTCTCGATTTGAGTAATTAACGCGCAAAAGTATTGTAATTTAGTACACTTAATTAAGATGCTGGAAACTTTATTCGATAAATACACTGGTTGAATTATTTACCATTTGGACTTTTCAAGTGTGGAGTGCCTGTTAAATCGAACTTTAATCGAAAACTTATCTGAGTTTCTTTTTCCGGATATTTTTAATCTTTATTTGAAGTTTGTCATTAAAAGTTTTTGGTATAAAAAAAAAATTAGTCGCAAATTTCGCGAAATGTAAATTATCGGTATCGATGCGATTTTCTTGAAACATATCTTAACATCAAAATATTTTAGATGAAATTTCTAGTTTGTACATTTTTTTACTTAAGCATTTGAATATTGTTTTATTTTATGTTGAAAAAAATTTGCATTAAGTGTATATTGTTGCATGGTCAAGCAATTTTTTTCGATTTGATTCCAATTTTTCAATTATAAATATTTGATATAGAAAGTAAATATATCGAAAAATCCAGCTTGCTTACTTAGCTAAGCTGGATATAACGTTAGTTTGATAAAATCCCTGCCGTTCAAAGAATATACATATATACTGCTTTACTTTGCGATTATTTCTAAAATTAAATACAAATTTCAATCCAAATTTTTATATCCTGCATCTGCAAATCATTTTCTTCTATATTCGCGAACTCTGTGAGATATATTGAGTGGATGAGCTCGCCTCTAAGTGCACGTACCAAATAGAGAAACGTCGAGATGCGAGTAAAGGTGGAGAATAAAAAGATATAGTACATAAGGAAGAAAGTGGAAAAAGAAACAGGTTCTATTATGAAAAGAAACGAAACTCCGCGGCTTGTCGGTCATAATATCAGTTAGCCCATTAAAACTCGTTGAGTTTCGCTTGTGTTCTACCTCCTCGAGTGTTCTCTTTTCTAAGATCGAAGAAAAAACCAACAAATTACATCGGACATAGAACATTTCTTCATCATGATTGTGAAGATGTTCTCACGCGAAGCAAAAGTTTGTTCAACTTAAAAAAGCGTTAGAAAATTTGCCAATTCAGTTCCATTTATGACGTGAATAAATTGAAATAGACGATAATTAAGAAATAGATGCACATAATTAAAGACCTAAAAATTCTTTAAAATTCGAGAAAAATGATTTTCTTTTAAAACCTTTCGAATCTGGGTCACGAATTAAAATATTAAATTTTTAAAAAGTCTAGCCATATAAATTCATATTGGGAGAGACTGCTTGTCTTAAAATAATAATTATTAAGTTTTAAGATTGTTTTGAAAGCGGATCGTTTTTCATACACGTTGTAACATCTATAAAAAATCGCATTAGTCACGCCTTAGGTGTAATTCACATACTAATGCACTTGTACGTAATACATCGTTCTTGGCGCGGAGTTTTATATTTTATGTCGCGCAAGAGTTGCACTGGTTTCCATCCTTAGCACGTAGTAAAGCACACCACCGTCCGGAAACTTTCCCATACACGCATCTATATATTATTTTCGCTCCATGAGATTTATCGCTTCTGCGGTAGTAATGGAACTCGCGAAACCTGTCTAACAAGAAGTATGTACAAGGAGTTTTTCAGATATCCATAAAAGTCGCCCGACAAGTATTAAAAAAGTAATTTTGAAATAAACTCGTAGATAATCACACAAAAATGAAAGAGAAGATTTCTGAAAACCGGAAAAGATCCCATGTGTAATCCAACGGTATGGTGGGCGCTCGCCTTTCGAAAATATATATACTATACTCGTCCAGAGGAAGATACCTAAATGATCCGAACACGGTATCTCCATTATCCGATAGTCTATAGGATCCCTAGGTAGCCATTTTGTCGGTTCCGCGTAACCATCGTCTATCCATTGGAAGAAATTGCCACACATCTAGGGACAGTGTAGGTTACGAGACACCCGGTATACGTTCCACGCTCGCTCGCTCATATATTTCGCACGTGCTATCGCCGGCGGCTTGCGGTATCGTCGCGCTAGTTGCATTTCCTGTTCCATCAGCGAAAATTATGTAAATACATTCCCTTCTTTCGTCCCAGTGCATAGAGGCGATGGAACCGAAGTAACGAAACTTTATGTAGCGCCGTCTCGTCTCGTCTCGTCTTGTCTCATCGTTACGTCAGTTTCGCGTCGGATCGCGCTGCGTTTCTCCGCGAGTTCCGCTCCAATTTTTACATAAATTTTAGCGATCATCTCGATGTTCAGTTAATTTAAGAGAAAGCGAGATGCACTTTATGTATAAATATATCGACAATAATTATATAAATAAATTTAATTTAAAAACAGATTCATAGGTATAAATCAATAATTATATAATCATTATATAATCGATAATAATTGTATAATAATTATATAATCGGTGTATAAACAGCTGATCGGAAATAATTTGTATCAATTCGGTATATAAGGGTATTAGATAGTTGTCGGTGATTGTAAATAATAATTAGATATTAAATGATTAGAATAATATAAGAACGATGGATTATAAAATTGATGACAGGATTAACGTAAAAGAATAAATTGAATATTATATTATCTCTCTCTCTCTTTCGTTCTTTTTATTGATGTATTACAAACGCATCGTGATTTTTATTTATAACTTTCCACTCGAAAAAAATCAATGATTTTTCCCAAATTAATTCATCGTTCAGTTTGTAAATCAAATATTAGTAAAACGAGCGTCAGTCTATTCAATACCGATACGGACGAATTGGTATTGCTTGATGAGCGAGCACGAGTATTGAGAGTAATATTGAAGAGTTTCTATGGTATAAATGCATTTTTTAACCTTATATTTTTTTAATTTATATATGAGATAATGTCACGTCACTCACGACATAGATCTGGAAATGGAATATCGCTTGTTGCGTGTGATTTAATGATCGACCTGCAAGGATTAAGTTGATAATTTCTAGTGTGTGGCCGTAATATCAAATATATTTGCAATATTGACGCGAACTATGCAAATATGTCGTGCATTAGTTATTGGCATTGAATTAACATTGCAAGTTAAATTTTGATACATATTATACGTGTGCAATACAGTTCTCCAAAAGCTTGCGAAAGATAAAATTATTTCACAGATTATCATTTATAGGAAAATAAATAAAATATTTAAAATATACAATAAAAATATATTTTAAATACATTTTAAATATATAAAATATATTTAACTATCTTATATATTTAAAATGTATCAAATATATTTAACTAAATCTTTTTTTTGAATATACGATTTTTTCATTTTGAACATGTAGGTCCTTCTTCGAGACACGGATTTAATTTCGGTTTCTTTTCTTGCTTTCGACGCAAGTGCATTTGATAGCGACGTTACATATAACAACATATCGATACTACGCGGACGTCGAATGTTCCTTGAATATCTACATGATTTATATTTGCAAACGTATCGGTTTTCTGAGTCAAATGCAGCTGCGTGTTACTTCCGTATGCATTGGCCGTCATGAGACATAGAGGAAGATTAGAAATAGCGTGACATAGAAGCTGACGCTTCTATATCTATAATGGTACTTTCGAAATTGCAAATATCAAATTAACTTGTCAGATGTTACAATGTGAAATAGTTTCATAATTGAAACAAGATAATTATTGAAGAAAGTGCAGTAGAATCTATATATTATAGAAATAATAACGCGATAACAGATGATAAAATAAACTTAATAAAATTTGCTTCATCGAGTGAATCCAGAATATAAGTTGCAAAAGTTTCAAGTCGCCTCGAGCAAAATTAGCTACGAATCGAATATAACGATAATGATTTTCACGCTTGATATCGTCGTTTCAATGTTGTTAATCGCGATGAAGAATATCGCGAATTGGATGCAGTACGATTCGTCAATTAACAGTCAAAAATGGTCATTCATAAATCGACAATATTCGAATTTGAATTATTGTTATGCGCGAACTTATGCAGAATTGATTTCAAACCATTCAATAAATCGCGAAAAATAAACGAGTCTCGTTTTCTAGCTCTGTGAACGGATCGAAATCTATTCTCTGAAAGAAAACATTGCCGCAATCTTAATAAGGGCGCATCGTCTTCTTGAAAGTAACCTGTTGCGGCTACTCCATTAATAGTTTGGGGGTGCCGATAAAAATCCGATCTGATGTCTCGCCGCGGTTTTACTCCAACTCTTTTCTATCATACATTTTGAAGCGTATTGATGATCTAATGATAAATTTGCAAATGCGCGACAATTATGGTTTAGAAACAATGTAAAATATTTTTACATAATAGATTTTGAATTATAAAACATTTATACCCTCTTTTATTGATGACACAATAGCAGTCGTATATTTGTTTTTGACTTATCGATTTTTAGCGGATAAAAACACAATACTAACAGATTGCACGAATAAAATGCAACCATATGTAAATAAAGTACGCCATATGCAGTTTATCGCGATATTTTTGTCCCCCATCTGTTTGCACCGATAACTGTCCGATTTACATGTCGCAACTATTTCGCAAAAACGATTTGAAATGTCGGATAAAACTGGATGATGTGAAACATGGTAATTGGATCACTCCCAAATACACTCGGAACAACTTCAGATCAATCAAGACTGATGTTCCAATTAATGGAATACTGAAGATTTTTCAAAAAAAAAAAATGATTGAGATATATATAGTTTCGAGGAGTTTCGTGCTGTTGACAACAATCAGTTGGAAGTCGCGATTAGTTTTATTTTTCGCGAATTGGAAACTTTGAATAGATCAGAAAAACTTACCAATTTTAACCAAAGATTCGTGATGAGCAATTGGTTCTTCTCGTCCTGAAACAAAGATTAAATATTAAATAAAACATATATTAAACAATTGTTTTTTCGTATCAAGCATGATTTTAATCTTTGAACAAAAATTACTAATAATTATTTAAAAAATAGCATATAACAATACTATTGCATAGTTATTCAAAAAAATTTTATGAAATATAATAATAGATTTAATATTTAATTTAAACAGATTTTAAACTCCAATTTACAAACTAGATGAAATGATGAATAAAAGAAAAGTAAATTTGTAATATTGCGTGATAGCATTATAAATATACACAATTTTTATTTATTTTTTGTAAAAGTAGACACGAACGCGTGTTTGACATTCATGCGACACAAGATGAATTAACGCGGCAGAAGCGGTCGCGTAACTCATTATCCAGTTTCATATCGCAATTAAAAATTGCTGTAGAAAAGCGCATATGCATTTAACAAGGCTTGTGAAGACGAAGGACTTTCATAGCTCAGGGTGTCTGCAGGTTGCATAATAAAATGGCAAGTGCGTGATTTAATTAATTGCATACTGTTGGCGAAGTAAATTATTTGCGCATATTTTCACAATTACAAATTTAGTATAATAAATTTCTGAGAGCGTACAAGCTTTTTTAGGTGTCAGAGAACGGATGGCAAAAGATGGCCGAGAAACACTATAAATTACGCGATGTTGCACACAGACATGATAAATATGATATCCTATTTTTCTCGTTGGAATTTTTAGAAAATTTTCTTTATTTATAAATTTGTATATAAAAAGAAACAAGAGAAGGAATCCTTGGAAAAAATGTTACAAAAAAGATGCTATTTGTAAATATATTACAGGATGTATATATAATAAAAAATTAATCTTTAGGAATATATTTTATATTACATAATATATTTTATATTGTAATTTATTTTAAATTATTATTGTTATGTAAAAATTATTTATGTATAGATGATGCTATTTGTAACAAAATTTCTATTGAAATTTTATTGTCATGAAAATAATACTTGCAATATTTTTTTTTTAAATCTCTTTATGAGATGCCTCACACAAGTACAATGATTTGAAACTTTAATTATTACTATAGTTAAAGCTGGAATAATCCTATTCTGTCAGTTCTCATCAGTTTTTATATATCAATTAAAGCTGTCAACTCTTATAAAAACGTAGATTGTTTCAACCAATTCGTTACTGAAGTCTGAACGAGAAATTTGATTTACAACCAACTATAAAAGTATTCAATCAATGAATACAAAAATTCAATATAACTTTTAAAACATAAACATATAAACAAAAAGAATTTATATGCATGAATATGCATTTATGAGCAAATATATATTATAATTAACTAAATAATTGTAAACTTATTTTACATCGACTATTGAAAGTACAATGTTTACAAAATGCAAAAAAATAAAAGTCCATGAATAACGAAATCATAATAAATTAGAAATTAAATATAATTATAATAAATATATATATATATATATATATATATTATATAAAATTTTTTAATTTGAAAAATTTATTACAATTGTGTGATAAATGAATATAGAAAGCTATTAAAAAGTTTATATTGCAAATTCTATTGCAACATAAATTGTAATTTTTTATTCTTTGTAATAAAATTTTTAAAGAAATATTACTAGAAAAATATTATCTAGAATTTTCACATTTGCATTTGTCTTTAAAAATTGTAATTAATATTGTATTTAAAATTATATTAAACAAAAAGCTGTTTGCCATGAATAAAAAATAGAAGCACTCGAGTTTATGAAAAATAAGAAATATAAAAAACTTTGGGAAAATATCGAAAACAAAATATAGTGTAGTTTCGGCGGGTATTGTTTTATATCGTATCCGCATGTCAAGAAAAATATTCCGAAGACAAATATGGTGCATATCCGACGAGCGGATGCATGCAACCATCCTCGCGACTTCTTGACATACAAGATAAAATGTTTCTAATATAATGCTTACTTAGTTAACTATATTGTTGCCATTTTTACTACTGTCGCAATAGGAATTTTTTAGGTTTTGCTCGTTCGTTCGTTTCGCGCATTGTCAGCCTCGTCACGTAAGGCATTGGCTTTCGGGTTTCCCAGTGTTCAAACCGCGTTCTTATCCTGATTACAAGCGCGTCTTACAGGAGGAATGCTCACCTCCCGAGAAGCTGCATTCCCCTGTCCCAAGAGAGGCTCGCATTCGCGATGATGAGCTTCGATATATCCTCGAAACGTATAGCAATACGAGACATGGATATCGATCCTTGTATCCGGAAAGCACGTGAGGGAAAAGCGCCGGTAGGAACAAGGAAATAATATATCATGTTGTACTACAATACGAACTTTACACCGTGTTAAGGAAAGATTTTCAAGTCAATTCAGTGTTGAAAAAGTTAATCAACAAATATTTCGTAATTGTCGAGAGTGATTCTGTATTATATAGGGTAATTTTCTACATATTTTCTAATATAAAGTATATTAAAAAATATCCTGACATAATAATCGCACACACATCTTCGTAATAATACGATCTTATACGATACGAAATATATCTTTGAGAAATATATCTCTTATCAGACTTGTTTAAAAGTAAAATACAAGATACAGATGCTATTTTACTCACGCTTATCGCCGACAATCCTATAATTACTCTTATCTGGATAGCTCGATTTTCTAAACCGCTCGTACATCAATGAAGTTAACAATCGGCTTTTCTTCCCTCGCGACATATATCGGATGTTTTCGGAGTCCCGGTCCATTCCGCAGAGAAAAGTGAGCTCTGAATTTTCCGCCGGCTTATCCTTTCGTTCGCGTCCGCGAGATAAACTGTTTCTCGATAATTGGATCTTATCGTTTAACCTAGCCCCTTTCAAAAACTACCACTCAAAATCCCCATCTAAGGTCGAGGTTAATCCACACGGTCATTACTTTGCCGCATTCTCTTGCATAATTTAACGTCTCGTTGAAACTTTTCACTGCCGACCGAGTTCTCTAAAGATTCGTCGATCTTGTAGGCTAATGGGACCATAGTTGCGCATGATCGGACAATCATGTTTCGCTAATTTAACTGCAGTGTAAAAGTGAGAAATTATATATACAGGATATATAAAAAAATTTTAAACTTAATATTTAATATTTAATATTTACAGTCAATTTTTTGTTAGCATGAATTTTAAGATCCGTTATTTTATTTAATCTTTTATGTGTTATCTTTTAATTTTCAGTTTTATAAATATAATACGCGCATATAATAAAATCTCTTAAATTATAAAAATTTCAGTTAAAATAAAAAATCAGTTTAAGTAAACTTAAAAAAAGAAACATAAATACACAAAACAAGAAACTAAATAAAAGTTCCATTCTGCTTCACGAACTGTAACAGTAATCAAATCTTGAATTCAGAGAAATTTTCATTCTTCGCCAAAAATAATGGCACTTTGTTTCTCTGGATGACTGTCGATCTCCCAGCCATGTTATTGCCTGGATCTGTTCCAACATGCTCTGTTTTTCTGGGCCTCGAATTCTCAGCCAGAATTTTCGAACAGCTTGGAGCAAATATTTAGAGGTTTAACAAGCTATCGTCCACCATGCAGTTAAACGAAAAAGAAAGCGGAAAAAAGCGCAAAAAAGTGTTTTACCGCAAAACGCTCACTAGGATTGTTAGAAACAAAATCTTTTAGGAGCCAAAAATATGTTAGAAACAAAATCTTTTAGGAACCAAAAATCTCACACACGCACGTATTTGTCTTTTTTATCATTTCATTTTGTTTCTTACAAAACACAGATTATTCCAGAGAAAATCGAATAAGCGCACTTAATGAATAATCGTCCTAGCAAATGATTATTAACTCTTAATTTATCGTAATGTGTTTATAAGAATGTGATACTTCCAGATTTTAATTACAAAACATTTAATTACAAAACATTTAATTCGATATAGCGTTCATCAATTGCTAATCAAAAATTACACGTTACTATCAAAAGTTCCGCGTTCATTTAAATTAATTAACAGCAACTCGGGCTTTGATGTAGCGTTTTCATAACCGCATACACGCAACTGCTTGCAGATATTCCGGATACTGATTAGGAAACTATGCCGAGGATCGTTTCAGGCTCGCTTGCGATACGGTTTAGCCGCGATTGTACAGATTTTATGTGACCAAAGAGAATGTTCAGAACCTGCCCCGACAAACTGAACACCGCCGCAGACTATTGCGGTCACTTCAGTCAACCGCCCACAAGCTCAATTGCATCTATAAACAAGATATCTCTCAGTATCTCCACTTGACACGTGTATCTAGCTATCTTATCCGATGATACTTACATTGAAGCCCCATCATGACCTCGATTATTATTCTTTAGATGAGAAATTAACGTAGCCACTAATCGGATCAATGATAATGCTTTGATTGATATTTTGAAGGACCCAATAATCGATTAACTACAATTATGCCAATTTCCGAGAAATCGTTAAAATGTTCTCAAAACTTAACACATTTAACATAACATTAATTATATAAATAAAATTATCGTGAAGTAGAGTGTAATTTAAACTCGATAAATTTGAAAGTATGTTCTCGATAAGTTTAACTATTTTGCCATATGATCGAATGTTAATGCAACTCAAGTTGTTTTGTTAAAATTAAAAATCTTTTTACTTTAATTTTATTCTATATTTGATGTCTTTATAATAGAAACTCAAATTAAAAATTTGTTGTAATTGATTTGAAATGAAATGAAACATATAAAATTATTTCGATTAACATATAATTTAACAGAAAAGTTTTTATTTTAAATATAGTTATTCTTTTTGATTAGCGAAATTATTTAAGACAAATTCTGTTTTTCGATAGAATCATGTCAATACGATAGAACTATCAATGTTAGTCAACAATTGTAGAAATATATCGAATAACAAAATAATGAAAGAAATTGCTATCGTCTTGATAAATCATAGTAAAATGCTATCGATTTTTCACTCATACATGTGGAAAACATTTGACAATTTC